TTTTTTTTTTTTTTTTTTTTTTTGAAATGCACAAATGACAGCTCAGAGCGGCTCATCAGAGACTAAGCAACTATGTGGTAACTATTCGAGCTTAAATTATATCCCTGTGCAGGGATGTCTATTCCTGCCAGAAGTCCTACTTGGAAGGTTTCAGGTCAGATGTAAGTACCTTGCGGTGGTTCTGTCTATGAATGACTTTCACAGCATGTGACCAGAATTGTACTATGGAGGATAACCATTATGAAAGAAACTTGGAGGATGAATTCCATTTGCTTTTACAAAACTGAGAATGATAAAAATAACATACTGTGCATAAAATCCTGTTTAACAGAAAGCTTTCTGTTTGTCTTCTGTAAGTTCAAGTTGGTTGAATTTTCTATAAGCTATTCCACATATCTGATAAGTAACAGCAGGATAGAGCTTAATAGAGGTCAAGGTCATGGTATAAAATCAGATACTCCTGTATTTGTCTGTATCCTCTGATAGTGATGTGTGCTGCTCCTCTTTAATGGAATATGTGCAGTATTATGCTGACCATAGCAGCTATGCTAGATAAACGCTAATAGTACTTTATGTGTGTGTGTTAAGGTTGCCATTTGTCCAGGTTTTCTTGGGCATGACCTCTTTTTGGGTTTTCCCATCTCTCTCTGGGTGTTTTTTTAAAAATATGAACAAATGTGCGGGATTTTGCTCTGCTCAGTAATGAAGTTTTTCCTGTGTGTGGCAGGGATGTGTGGAGATAATGGGTGTCTGAGTTGGTTGGGGGAGGAGGGTGGCTGGACACAGGGGCTGCAGCAAGACAGGGGAGGCACCTGCCCCTCCAGTGGGGGAAGGGGGGGGTGGGAAGGCCCTTCAGGGGCAGTAGGGAACTGTGTGGCTGGTGCCTGTGCTCACAGGGGTGGGGCAGCTGGGATTGCCCACCCCCATCCCCCGCCTGGGAGGAGCTGGTGAGTGCAGGGCTTTTTTTTTTGTACTGGGACTCTGGGGCTGCATGGGGCAGCCATTGACGGGACTGGGAGAGCAGGCCGGGGATGGGACCTGTTCAATTCAGGCTGGGGAACTCCCTTTTTGTCAGTACAGAGGTGGAAAAGGATCTTGGAGTCATCATCGACTCCAAGATGAACACGGGCCGGCAGTGTGGGGATGCAGTCAGGAAGGCCCAACCGTACCTTGTCATGCATCCACAGATGCATCTCAAGCAGGTCCAAGGAGGTGACACTCCCCCTCTATGCGGCACTGGTCAGGTCGCAGCTGGGGTACTGCATCCAGTTCTTGGTGCCGCACTTTAAGAGGCATGTGGACAACATGGAGAGGATCCAGAGGAGGGCCACTCTCATGATTAGGGGGTAGCAGGAAAGGCCTTATGAGGAGAGGCTACGGGACCTGAACCTGTTCAGCCTCCACAAGAGAAGGCTGAGGGGGGATCTAGTGGCCTGTTACAAACTAGTCAGTGGGGATCAGCAGGCACTGGGGAAGTCCCTATTCCCCCGAGCACTACCAGGAGTGACCAGGAATAATGGTCACAAGCTGGCAGAGGGTAGGTTTAGGCTAGATATCAGGAGGCGCTACTTCACGGTCAGGGCGGCTAGGATCTGGAACCAACTTCCAAGAGAAGTGGTGCTGGATCCTACCCTGGGGTCTTTAAGAGGAGGTTAGATGAACACCTTGCTGGGGTCGTTTGACCCCAGTACTCTTTCCTGCCATGGCAGGGGGTCGGACTAGATGATCTGCTCAGGTCTCTTCTGACCCTAGAAACTATGAAACTATGATTCGGCCGAGTTGATTCAGGATAGTGATTCTAATCACCATCCCCCAAATTGGTTGAATCCAAATTGGAAGCAAATACTAGCTGCTTTGGAGAGACTTACTAGACACCTAATTCACATAGGCATGTTTATATGCTCCACTTGGCAATGAATAGGTGTGTATTTGTCTTTGCCATGGGTGCGTTTTTCTTCACAGTGAATTAGCTGTCTGATGCCTTAGTAGGATTTGGAAGAATATACTAAATGCTTGGGGGTTTTATATTTGTGTCCCTTTTTTTGTATTTGGGCCATCAGAAATTATTTGCTCCTGCTATTTAAGCTGGTCTCAAAGGAATAGGGCTAACAGGGTCCCAGGGAAAGCTATGTTAAATTCTGGAGGAGCTTAATAATGGTATAAATTGCAAGAGGGCTCAAAGCTAATCAGTAGGTATAGGTTGCAGAATGGTATAATTTGCGTTGTTTGGCGGTCAGTGGAGGTTTGGGAAAAATCTTAATTCACAGACCAGGTAAAGAAAGCAGAGCTCTATAACAGAAACCATCCCTTTCTAATAATCACTTTTCTAGATACATCTCCCACTATAACAAGGATGATCAGGAGTATGGAGCAGCTGCCATGTTAGAGGAGATTGATAAGATGGAGTGTTCAGTTTGGAAAGGGGAAGGCTGAGGGGGAACAATAGAGCTGTATAAGGTAAAGAAGACTGTGATTAAGGAACTGTCATTCATTGACTCCCAAAATATATGAACTAGGAGGTGACTATTGAAAGTATCAGTACATAGGTTTACAACAAACAAGAGGAAGTACTTTTTATGCAGCATGTGGTTAACTTGTGGAAGTTTACTGGATCCTTTAGCATGGTGAAGACTGTCTTAAAAACCACGATAAAACTAAAATTAAAGGGGAACATAGTATGTGCCATACTGGGTTAAACCAATGATTCATCTAGCCCAATATGTTGTCTCCAGCAGTGAAAAGTAGTAACTGCTTTAGAAGGACAGCATATGATAGGGCATGTCTAGAACAATTCATCCTCTGTCATGCCCTCCCTGGCATCAACCATTGGTTTACATAGAATACAAGAGAATACATTCCTGACTATCCAATTTAATAGCTTCCAATGGACTTACCCTAAATTAAATTTTTCTAATCCCTTTTTTAACCAAATAAATTTGAACAGATAAGTTAAGTTTTGTGATTTTTTTTTCAAGTTAATTTGAACTTCAGATTCACAATCAAACATTTCTGGAATGTTTTTGTTTTTAAAACCTACCCCCAAACCCATTATTTGAAATCAAACAACATATCTGCCTAGGCTTTTATGAAAAAACTAAGCTTTCTGTAGAGATTTCTGTAATCCATGAATATATAGGTGGCTAGTGGCTAGAACACTGTATAACTAAAATATACATAGGTGTTGGGAAATATATGAAGTCAGTTTGACTACTGGCATAAGTATGTGCAACTCCACCCAAATCGGTGAAGTTGCACATATTTCTACCAGCAGTTAATTTAACTTTAAGATCTAAACTGAACACACACATCTCATAGCCCAGTTATGGGTTGAATATGCATATGCCCTATGCTAGATGGCTTCTGATTTTGACTGCTTAATTTTTTAATAATGCACAAGCCTTATGATTCTAATAAAAATAACCATTATAGGCATGGTTTTCTGTTTGGAAATTCAGTAGCTTTGTGTGAGTTATAAAGTCTGGATAAACATAATGCATACAACTCTAGAGTTGAATAAGCATCCCATTTGTAGGGTGTGAATGAAAGAGCATAATTATTATTCTGTTCCTGATGTGTGAAAATTCTGAGGGTAGATGTTGAAATGAATGCAGATGTAGGAAAGGCAAGTGCGATTTTTCACACTCTGCAGATTACAAACTTGTAAGTAGATCACGGTCTGCCACTGAGTAAGCGTGAAAAACACTCATGCCTGAAAAATGGATTCAGAATTCTGTATCTCATGTTCCATCATCTCATGTTTGTGCTTGGACAAGTGAAATGTTTTAATTTTCTTTCCTCTGGAAGTTGCAGCGAAAACCTTGTCTGCTCCCTAATGATTGTAAGCAGGTTTAAACAATTTTAAACTCAAAATACTCCAGGGGAAACTTTCATGGAGTCCAAGCAGTCATAGACAAAGCTACCTTCTGCAGTCCCAAAGTGACCTGAATTGGTTACTGAGGTTCAAATCCACATGCTTTAGAGCAGGGGCAGGCAATTATTTCGGGTGGAGGGTCACTTACTGAGTTTTAGCAAGCTGTTGAGGACTACATGGGTAGCCCCGCCCCTTGACAGGTGCCCTGCCCCCGGTCACCATCTTGTGACTGGAAGTCCCACCTCCTAATCCCTGACCTTTGCCACTGGAAACCCTTCCCTTGCCCCCTTCCTTTTAGCTAGGGGTTTTGTCATCTTGGAACCAGAAAAATACTAAATTATATCTAATTATACTAACTTATAAGCAATCATCTACAAGATTCATTAATTTGATTTCAAAAATATTTTTGTCTTGGTTTACATGTGTTTGTATGTTGTACATAGAGGTGATTGCACAGCAGCTTAAAATGAAGTCTTACTCTTGTATATTGTGGGGGAGCTTGGGGGTTGGGTATTGGTTTGTGGGGAGCTGCGAGTATGTGGGTAAGTGGGGTATGGGTGTGTCTGTGGGGGGTGGATAGGTGTGGAGGTGTGGAGTAAGGGAGCATGTGGGTGTGTATGTGGATGTGTGGGTGGGTATGGGGTTTATGGGTTTGTGTGGGGGGAAGGGTGACTGGGGTGTGTGAGTGGGTGTGGATGTGGGGGTCTGCATGTATGGCAGTGTGAGGGGGGTGTGGGTGCATGTGTATGGTGGGATGTGCATGTGGGACTCACCCCATGAACACGTGCACTTACATTGTCTCTCCCTCCCTGCGTGCGCGCTCGCTTTCCCTCCCTGTGCGTGTGTGTGCGCACGCGCGCGCGCGCACACACACCACCTCTCTCTATTCCTCTGTGTGTGCATACACAAACACACACTCTCCCACTCCTACCCCTGGGGCACTGGCACAGGCCCCGTGCTCCTGCAGTCCAGTGATACAGCTGGGAGCCATGTGATGCTGCAGCAGTGAAAGCAGGGAAATGGCTGGGGGTGGGGCAAGGCTTGGCTGCTGGGTCCTGTTGCTGGCTCCCCCTGGGTCCTACTGTCCCTGGTTCCTGTCATCTCTGACAGGCAGCCAGGACCAGATAAATATTAATTTTCTAAATCTTTTAGGGCCCCGTGGGCTCGATAGAATGGCCTGGTGGGCCAGAAGTGGCCCGCGGGCCATATTTTGCCTGCTCTTACTTCAGAGCAATGATTCTCAACCAGGGTGTGGTGGCACTCTGCAGTAACTTGAAATCTCTTGCAAGGGTCCTGTGGGGTGCCACCCAATGGTATTACTGTTAGGTGTGCAAGCATGAGTCACAAGATAAACCCAGAGGTTTCAACTACAAATCCATAATGTTAAAAACATTTTGACTGGTTGTGATCTTTCTGAGTTCTTTGCAATAGAAGAATTGCTCTATTGTTTTTCTGTAGGCAGAAATAGAGTGAAAAGTAAGAGCTGACATTTTCCTAAGGCTGCCTTGACTCTACTGAGGGGTGCCTTGAGCCTATCAAAGGGTGCCCTAAATCTAAAAGGTTGAGAACTGCTGCTTTAAAGAAAGTGCAAAGTCCTTTGATGGATATCACTAGTTCTCCTTGCGCAAGGAGCATTGCTCTTTCATGTTACTTGAAATTAATTGAGCTGTCATTTTTTTTAATCACCTTTCTGATGTGTCGCTCACATATAAAGCATTTTCTGAAGTGTGAATTCAGACTTGCAGAATTTAGTCGTCTTTTTAGTCCTCAAACAGCTGTTACATAGTGTGGAGATCATTGTTCAGAGGTGAGAGAGCAGCTCAGCCTTCATCTGGTTCACTGGTTTGCTTATCTGAGGGACTGACAGCAGCCTACCCTTTTCAGGCTACTAAATAAATTCAACTGAGTTAAGTTAAACTGAACTAAGACCACTAAATGACTTTACATACACTTTCAACAACCTATTCCAATAGCTGCTGCTTTTCCTCATTGAGCTAGAGGCGAGTGCCCATTGCCACTCTTCTGAACCATCCTGTTTCTCACTAAAAGTATTTGGAACATATTTCTCAGGTGGTTTGAGGCATGAGGGATTTTTAGTGATCAAAGTTCATCTTTTTTCTCATGGAGACCTCACTTTTCACCAAAGCAGTATGGGTGGGTTTTTTTTTTCCATGAACAAGCTTGATTGGATTGAAATTCATTCTGATCTTGATATTATTCTATGCTCAGAAATCTAGATATTCTCAGGTTGGATTGATGATAGCAAGGTGTCACACCCACTCCTTCCTGATGTTTCCCAGAATCCTTTGAGTTGACATCACTATTTTGAAGGAAGTTGCAAAGCAGCTGGCACAAACCATCCTGGGAAATTTTTGTGGGGAGAAATGTAGAACTGCCATGATCAGGTGAATTTTTTATATTTAAAAATGAATACAGAAAGGAGCTATCCCTGTGTTCCTTTGATGTAGCATCTTAGGCAGACACCAAAAACCACCTTCTCAGAAGGAGTTTTAGTATAAATTTCAGTAATTAATGCTGTGTATGGGGGTTAATTTTTTAAAACTCTTTTCACTGTTCACAGGATGATTTACTGTCCTTGAAAGTTGTTAGTGTTCTCCATCACCTTAGCATCAAAAGAGCCATTCAGGTCCTGAGGATAAACAACTTTGAACCCAACTGTCTGCGCAGAAGGCCGTCGGATGAGGTACCTCTTTTAAGGGAAAGTTAAATCATGAAGAGCAATCCTCTGATTTTTTTTTTTTTTTCAGACAAGTTATTCTGACTCTACCACCCCACCAGTCTTAACCACAGCTATCTATCTATGTCTTTTCATATCTACACCATTTTCTTTTCACTTTCATGTTCTGCCTTCTACATCTAGAATACTGGGTTCTTTTCTCCTACTTCCACAAGTTATGGAATCACTTTCTATTGCCAAATCTCCCATTTCTCTTTCTAGTTTACAACTGACTGTTTCTAGAACATAGTATCTGATGCACTGTTTTAAGGAAAGTAGTGCCACCTGTGATATAATTGCCTTGAACTTAGGTGTACAGTTTCTTACTTAACCTCTGGCCTGTGAGCTAGTTCCAAAAGGTCATGTTGTCTGGCCTGTGGGGGTCTTCCCACAGGTCCAAAACTTTGGCAGCGTGGGAGTGGTAACAGTGCTAGTTGTCTCTCCTCTGCTGCAAAATTTCTGGTTCTGACTCTCAAACCAAAGCCAAATGTGGCATCTGGCCTGCAGACATGCTCTGCACGATTCATCTCACCTGTGGGCCCAAAAAGGTGGAGCATCACTGCCCTAGAGTAAGTGTCAGCAGCCTATGGATCCTTGGACATGGGCTGTGGGTGCTCTCCCTGTGCTGCCATGGTGAGAAGCATTGGCTGCAGGTGCTCTTGAGCACTTGCCTCTGACCTGAGGTGGGTCATTTTGGCCCACAGTTAGAAAAAAAAATGCCTACTGCTACCCTAAGACTTCATGAAATTTTAATATATAATTTTCTTGAGTTCAACACTATAATCAGGTATTATCTTGAGCTACTGCTATAAGATTGTATGCTTTAGAGGTAGCTTGCTCTCAAAATAGAATTAGGACCCTATTGTAAGGCCACTGGAGATGAAGGTTCATATTCATCATGTCTTTGCAGTATCCTGAGATACTGGATTCATCACCCTGTGGTGAATCACAACTAATTCCACTGGAAGTGATAGCAGTATATGCCTATGTAAGAGATTGCAGATGCAGGCCCTGTGTGCTCAGAAACATAGTGCCATGTTACTTTACAGCACTTGAGGTGTGTTAAATGGAGAGGAGAGTGTGTCATCCTCTAGCCAGTCAGTTCTGTGTGCATTGAGCAGCTCAGTGCTGTTCTAGAATTCATACAGCAGTATAAGCATTCCAAACTTTTATCTGATGTCCTGATCTAAATTGGTTGATTCACACTACCTTGCAGGATTTTCACTGCCTTGTAGGAAGCTTCTGGTTAATTTCCCATCACACTAACACGATAATCAGCTGACTTTTTTGATCTGTGTATTTCAGTAGCAATGCTAGAATGTGTAAATAATGCTAAGATGTTGATGGTTAGTCAGGAGTCAGGAGCTAAGAGGGGTGGAGAAAGATCATTTAAACATATCAGGAATCTTGCTGGCTACTGCCTAATACTGCATCACGATGAAGATATGGACTCAGAGATTTCACAGAGTTTGAGGAGGCAGTTGAAGTTTGATCTAGGCACATTTCAATGTGTCTTTGAGGACAGAAGTTTTGCTAAAGCAGAGGACAGGGGTGGGGGAGGGTTTGAATTAAAGACAGGATAACAAAGTCTTCATAAGTGCAATCTCTTCCTGTCCACAGAATAACATCATGCCATCTGAAGTAACTCAGTGGACCAATCATCGTGTGATGGAGTGGTTACGTTCAGTTGACCTCGCAGAATATGCCCCTAATCTGAGAGGGAGCGGTGTGCATGGTGGACTGATGGTAATAATTTAGTGTTTCATCTTGTAAATTTAAAAAAAAAATCTGAACTCCGAGGCCCCAGTACACTTTACATTTATTGTGCCATTAACCAGTTATGGGCACAATAAATTTAGACAAGGCTACACATACAAAATAATTATTGCATAATAAAAATGGCCAGGCAGCAACAAAAATGGCCAGCCAGCTATAAAGATGTTGCTTGAAAAATGTAGTACATTTTTAAAGCTGCTTTCTACTAAGCTTTAATCTGAACATGTGGCATGTCACACACCATGTGATAGGTCTTAACTGGGTCCTCCAGCATCTCAAGGTACTCTACTCCATCCCCCACCTCACTGGCCACCTCTCTGCTGACGCTGATGATTAGCTCATTGTCAGTGTCAGCATGGGGAGGGAGGTCAACATTAGGACTGTGACAGCCTCAGTCCTGATGCCAAAATGGGGGTAGGAGGAGCAGATTGCAAGATTCCCTAGTGAGGGAAGCTGAGGAGTTCTTCAAGCTAGAAACCTGGAAATGTCTGAGCTGAACAGCTTTTTCTGCCTTGCCTCAGAGCCCTCCAAGAGATGTGGGGAAAGGTATTTAAAAATGCAGGGGTTCCAGGGAGCCAGGCTGAACAAGTGCTTTTTAGATGCCCTGGGGATAGGGATGCCAAGATGAGGGACAGGGTCCTTGATCCTCGAGCCCTGGGACTTTTAAAAACTGGACATGCAGCTGGGCAGTTCCAGGCCTCTTAGCTGATTGTCAAACCCAGCTCCAAAGAGTCTGGGGTCTCAAACCCACCCTGCATCCTGGTCTTACAATCGGCTGATTGTCAGACCTGACCCCAGCCAGGGTGGATTGTTTTAAATCAAGGTGATTTAAATCATGATTTAAATCACCGAGAAAGCCCTGATTTAGATAGTTTCATAGTTTCTAGGGTTGGAAGGGACCTGAG